GAAAAAACACAAAACTAGCTAAATAACCGTTCTACGCTTACAAAATTCCGCACAAATCTCACAACTATCCTTCACCTCACATATTTAAAAACGAAAAACAGGAAAAATTACCTACATATCTGGTCTACGAACACAAAATTTCATTCACATACTAAAAAACACAAAACTAACTAAATATCCGCACTATGCTCGCTAAAAATCCCTCCAAAATCTCACAACCTTCCTTAACCTCACATATTAAAAAAACACAAAAAACTACCTACATATCCGGTCTGCGATCCCCTTCCTCCTCCTCCACCAAAGGGAATACATTTGCCATAAAAGGTCAGACTGCTCCTCAATTTGGGTAGGATTTCCCTTTACAAGATAAATATTGGGTCCCAGAAATGCCATCTTTTCTCCCGGCAAGTAATCCTTTTGATGTAAACAAGAGATCCTAATTCCACCCGGGCGGGTACAAAATGGACACCGAATTTCCCATCCGCCTTTCACCCGGCCATATTTACGTTCACTTCTCCATCCGTAATCTATCGATAAGGGGATTTAGTCCAAAGGCGGGGACAAGAAGGACCAAATTGAAAATCATGTTGATATTTAGATTTGCCAACAACGTCTTGGAGGTCGACATCAGTGCCCGCGGAAGGGTGGAGGGGGGACAGAGGGACAATGTCCCCACGGACATCCGATGTCCTTATCATCTCCCCATCTTATACAAACCCAGCCCTCCCGTATCTTGCAATATTAATGTCCCCACGGCTCCCGCGGCCATTGAGTTCTCCTTCTTCTTTTAGCAAGGTCCTCTCCCCAGTGTCCGCGGAAACTTGATGGGACAGAGGGACAATGTCCCCACGGTTATTCGATGTCCCTTTCATCTTATATAAACCAGTCCCTTCCCCTCTATCCTACAATGTCAATGTCCCCCTCTGTCCCCACGGCTTCCGCGGTCACTGGTCGCTCCAGCTATTAATCATGTGCCCTCTGAGCAAGTCCCATCTTTTCCGAGATTTGCAATATGCGAGAATGGAATGCGAGACACGAATAACCCAGCCCAGATTTTTAATTTTAAGACAATACCCGCTTTTCAGACTTATCGCCTCTATTGTGCGATTGGAATGTGTCCCCATGAGGGAAAAGCTGCAGCAGATGATTGCGACCAAACAACAATGGAAAGCATCATCGGGTTTATGATGTCGTTCGGGTAATGACGATGGTCTAATAAGAAACATCAAATTCTCTAAACCGTATTTATAATACGGAGAGATTTCCTTACAAGGGAGATCTCCCAGCGTATGCTCTCCGATTTTTAAGGTCATATTAGTCTCAATCGGGGACAAATTTAGTTAGTACGTAATTTGTGAAAGACACGATCTCTCAATGGGCACGTTTGGCAGAGATATTTGCATCCCAAGAGGAGTAAATTCCCAGTAAATGGGGAAAGTGTAAAATTTGTCGACTTTAAGATGCATTTTATCCTTTTCGGATGCAATTATCTCTGCCATTTGAGATCGTGTATTTTGCAAATTTCATGCAAACTAAACTTGTCATCGATTTACGCTATTTTGGTCAAAATCGGATCACCTGCGTTGGGAGACCTGTCATTTATAAAAGCCGTATTTAAAATACAGCAAAATGGTTTGAATTTGACGAAGTGATTTTTAATCAAGCTGGCTCAATTTTGATGAAAAATGGTATATTTTGACCTGCTTTTTTCCACTTATCCTCATTCGAATGTACCCCTTCTACTCCTTACAGGTAAGTAAATAACTAACTAAATTCATCCCGTCCATCCACCTCGACTCTTGTTTATTCCACATAAAAAACCCATTCATCAAGCAGGTAGCTGGATGCAAGTAGCTTTGATTTCTTGCATCTCTCCAGCAGATTCCCCAAGCTGTCAGATGTACATACATAAAAATCCCACGGAATCCTCCTCTCCCCGTAAATCACTCACTCACTCGGACCAGGTTCCAGCCTAACCGGTTGGTGGGCAGTGGCCGCGGAAGCGTGTGGACAGAGGGACGAAGTCCCCACAGTTGTTCGATGTCCCTATTTATCATCTGTCCGTCTTATACAAATAAACCCCTTCCTTATCCAATGCTAATGTCCCCAGATGTCACCACCGCTTCCGCGGCCACTAAGGGTACATATGTAAAGGGTGAACGCACAGTGGCCGCGGAAGCGTGTGGACAGAGGGACAAAGTCCCCACGATTATTCGACATCCGCATCATCTCCCCATCTTATATGATCCCTTGCCTCCCCTGCATCCTACAATCTTAATGCCCCCCCATGTCCCCACACCTTCCGCGGCCACTGTTTGCTGGTTGGTGAGAATGATTGAATACGTACGTAGCACGCCGCACTTTCATTCCTCATTAGAGCCCGTATTCATCGGAGGAGGTGGAAGCGGCGGCGGCGTCGGAGGATAAGTGAGCACTCAGGTGAACGAATCTATTTATGTATACGATGCGGACCAACTTGTCTTACAACTCGATTTGAAATGCTAATTTAAATGGGGCTCCATCCCCTTAATGGAAAATCGTATTTATGTATCATGACAAGCTCGGGGAGAGAGGAGAAAGTCGCTCCTTTGATTTCTTGACTTTCTCTCTCTCATCATCTTCAGGAAGTATTCGGGAAAAAGGTAATATATATTCTCATAAAGTATTAAACTATGATCAGTTAAACAGGACTATTTCGAAACGGATACAAATTCTAACATGGACAAGTAGGATTTGCATATTAATTGAAATTGGATTGCAATAGTAGTGAAAATTTTTGTTCAATGTATTACTTATGTAAAACCTAATAAAACCCAATAAAACCCATAAAACCCATTAAAACCCAAAAAACCCATTAAAACCCATTAAAACCCCTGGGTCGTTACTTTTTGATTAAAACCCTGGGTTTTTCCGAACCCTGTACATATGTATATTGCCAATATTTTATTTTTCGTACTAAAAATACTCAAATTGTGTCGTTATTTTTCAAATTGTTCCCCATGCTCTATTCTGTTTCCGTAAATAATGTCAACCACATGGTCTAAATTAATTTTAAAAACCAGATTTGAAATTTTACCTAGACATTTTTCGTAATCAATTTTTTTATTTTTCAAAATTTTACATATTAATACTCAAACCGGGTCTCACTTTCTTTCCTCCTTCCTTTGATAATACTTATTTCATGATTCAATGAAATTAATTTTTTCAAATTTTGATCAAGACTTCAAATTTTTTAAGTTTTTTATAGACAGACATTTTTCATATGTAAATTTTCCTCCTATTTTACATACTAATACTCAAACCGGGCCTCATTTTCAATCCTCTTATCCGCTAAAAGAAACCCAGCTAGCCAAGTCTCCAGGCTTGCCTCATCCTTTTCCTCTTTGGAAAGAAAGAAAGTCGGATTGTCCCCACTGTTTCGGATTATGGGCTAAACTTCCAACTTTCCTGACAGGATGTGGAGGACGACCCGTCAACCAGATAATTTTCAAGAGATGCAAAATGTCTGCAAAGCAGAAGCTGCTCCTCTTCTCAGGCAGTGGCCGCGGAAGCCGTGGGGACATGGGGGACATTTACATTGTAGGATAGGGGAGAGGGACGAGTTTACAGAACTTGGGGGCATCAAACAATTTTGGCGACTTTTTCCCTCTGTCCTCACACTTCCGCGGCCACTGTGAATTCTACTTTTACATATGCATCTTTAGTGACCGCGGAAGCCGTGGCGACATCTGGGGACAGTAACATTTTAAAATTGGGAAGGTACGAGTTTACATAAGATGGGGAGATGATGAGAATATCGAATAACTCTGGGGGCATTGTCCCCCGATGTCCCCACAGCATCCGCGGCCACTGTTCTGTTTGCATTATCATCACCATGCGATACAGTGGTCGCGGAAGCCGTGGGGACTTCTGGGGAGATTAACATTGTAGGATAAGGGAAGGCCGGGTTACGTAAGATGGGGAGATGATAGGACATCGAATAACTGTTGGGACATTGTCCCCCGATGTCCCCACACTCTGTTCCGCGGCCACTGCACCTCATGGAAGGTCAGACACAGAGAGGGCTGAAGCCAGTCGGTCGACTGAGCCATATTTACACAGCTCCATACACTTTACAAAAGCGTCAAAATATGATAAATTGACCTGACTTTGTTTGTACTTCTCTCGCGCGAGTTATGAAGATGCGAAAGATTAGTTGCGTTTGGGAAATGTTATAAACTACTTAAAATATTTTGGCAGCAACTTCCGCCCATCCAAAAATAATGCACAAGGGACACTTCCCAACTGTTCGGCGTGGTTAAGGTACAAAGTTTTTTTTAGTATCAACCCGGGCCCAATATGAAGGATCAATTCATATTTCCGTGTTAAACTCCAATTTAAGGCTAAAATTAGTACAATTTAATTTTTTAAAACCGCCATTACTTTTTAAATTTTTGAATTAAAATGATCACAAAGAGTTGAATTTTTATATGCTTACATTAATACATTTACATTAATTTTTTTTAATTTCTTAAAAAATCCTTAAGATCATTCATAAAATGGAAGATTCGCCGAAAGAAAACATAAAAGTTTTCAATTTTTTTTAAACTTTTCGTACGAGCCATTCATTTTCAACAAGATCTTAAGGTTTCCCCAAACAAAAAAATTGGAAAATTTAAAAATTTAAAAGTGAAAAATTGAATTTTTTGTATCGTATCTAAACCCAACTTCTTATGATCAATTTAATTTACAAATTTTAAAGTCCTACCAGAACTCATAGAAGTTTAAAATTGGTCAAAAATCCAAATTTTTAAATTTAGCGCTACCCCCACAGCGGCAAATATGACTTTCAGCAAAAATACGAATGGATCCTTCACCAAGATTCACTAACTTCTTAAAAAACAGAATGTGCACCCCAACCGCGACGAACAGTTGGTCCCATTCCCTCCTAACTTTCCATGTTTATCACCACTTTTCCTTATGCAATGCAGCCCTCACTCATCGCGACTCATCACACTTACCGATACAGACGAGCGAGACGGTTGTGAAAGTATCGTCCGTAATGGGATCCGCCGTGTCGTTCGATGAGTTCCCTCGGAACGACCAGTTCCCCCCCTCGTCGTACGACGGGGGCCAGTTCTCCTCGTCCAAATCCATCGCTAAGGAAAAACCTGCGGACAAAAATATAAACAATTAACTTCACCATTTGTTTAAGAGGCAGATTATGTAATGCATACTTTAAAATTAACCTTCATACTACCACCACTTAAATTTTCGGAAATAATCAAATTACAGACATTTATGTAACTACTTTTACTTATGACTTGACTACCTACCCCGCTATGTTTCGAAATATTACGAATTATGCACATTTAAAAGTATAACCAATAAACTTCACTCCTTTTTTAAGAGGCAGGTTATAAAATATGCACTCTTCAATTAACCTTCATATTGCCACTTAATTTTCGCAAATATTCCGCGACATACTAAATTACAGACATTTAACAATTTTTTCAGACTTGACTATCCCGCTATTTTGCAAAATATTTGCATAGTTTGTAAAAATAAATTTGGCAAATCAGTATACAAAATTCGTTTTCTATAAGTTTCTACAAAAATTTATTTAAAACCCGACCAAAAATACACACTTTCACGTCAATCTTTCCAAATCATGAAGACTTATCGACGTTCAATTAATACAGAAATTTACGTTTTTGTCAACATTACGAACATTTTACAAAAATAAGAGAGGATTTTTACACAAAATTATGCCAAAATTCGAGCAAACATCTTACGTTTACTTTTTCAAAAAAGTAAAAGGACAATCCATGCAAAAAAATGCACTCCAATATTTCACAATCCTAATTGGATCCAGCCAGTCCTAAAAATAGCGTTCTTCTGTCCAAAATAAGTTTCCACATTTTCGTCAATATTACAAACATTTTGCAAAAAATGAGACAGCATTTTTACACAAAATTATGCCAAAATTAGAGCAAACGTCTACTTTTTCAAAAAAGTAAAAAAAAATCCCCACAAAAGACACTAATTGGATCCATCCTTCCTAAAAATAGCGTTCTTCTGTCCAATATAAGTTTTCCGAAAATTTATTTCCCATCCAAATGCACACTTTCACGTCAATCTTGCCCCATCATTAGGAGTCATTTCCTTCCCAAATTTCCCCTGTAAACGGAGCAAATGTGGATTTTAACTCGGCCGTAAAATTAGAGCAACGACACTTTAGCATAAACGCGTACATGCATAAATATCCCGTCATTATTTTATATTTACTCGGAACTTACGTTCGAAAAACATGGGCGTCCCCGTAATAGTAAAACAACTCGTAAAATTCAACCCTTTTTGACTCGATAGAAATAAAAAGCTCAGCCAGAATTCGGCCAGAAGTGCATCATATAAAGATTTATGTTCTTACCAAATCACGCCCCGCGCAAGAGTGGGGACGATTTTGGAAAATAAAATAAAATTTAGAAAACTTTAGCTTGAACCGGATAAAGGAATTATTTAGGGTTAAGAAAATTTCAAAATTATGAAAATCTGAACAAAATTCGATTTTTGGGGAAAGTTTGAATGAGCGAAAATAAGATTTTTCGCATTTTTTTACAGAAATGTACAAATTGATTAAAAAACAGTGTTTTGCATATCCACGCTTTATAAATTTTTAAAATCCATTTCAAAAATTTCATGAATTTTGAAATAGATAAATTGAATGCAAGTTAATTTTTGATCTTATAAAACTATTCAAAAAATCGGTCAATGCATTTTCTTGACAATTTTAGCATAAAAATTTCCAAAAATTTTTGCAATTTCATAAGATAAGTTTTGAGCCGAATTTAACTACAATCTGTAGCTAAGAATTTTAAAAATATTAGGAAATTAATGCAATTTCATAGGATTAGTTTTGAGATAAGTTAAATTTTTGATGTTACAAAACTACAATTTTTTTACCCAACTAATTTTCTTAAGGAAAATTTATTGCAAAAAATTGAAAAATATGCACTTCCGTTCCGCGGTCCCTGTTTCTTCCCCCACGAAACATTTGTAGAGACGTCGTCAGTCCTCACACAACAGCCCAGTTAAGATTACTCATACTCCAAACACTAATAAATTTCGAGCCTTTTAACCTCCTAATTTCACGGGCTCCATAAAAACCCAGTTTCGCATTCTCCTTGGCTGCGGAGACGTTACGGCCACCGTTTTCATGGCCAATTTACATCCATGCAAATTGCTCATGGGAGGCAGATCATTTACCCAAAATGATGAAGGGCAAATTTGTCACGAGTAAAAGTCAGACGTGAAATGGCTGAAAATCTGATTTTTTGGAAAATTTTTGGGGATACATTTTTAAATTCAAAGGTCAAAAATATTTTACTTTTGTATTTTTGAAAATTAAAATAAAAAAAACAACAAATTTTCTTCGTTGAAAGTCATATAAGAAATTAAAAAATTGTATTAAAATTTCAATTTTTTATATTCAAATTCGTGCAAGAGCTAAAACTTTAATTTTTGGAAAAATGGAGACATGAAATTTAATGGTTTAAAATCATCCAAGAATTTTAAAAAACGAATTTTCGAAAAAAAGTTTTAAAAAATCTCAAATTTCTTCATTTAAAATCGTCCAATAATTTTTATAAATTGTATTTTTGGGAAAAAAATTCTTCATTTTAAATCGTCCAAAAATTTTGAAAAACATCAAATTTCTTTAAACTTCAAATTTCTTCATTCAAGATCATTCAAGGAATTAAAAAACTTTGATTTTTGAAAAAATACGCAAAAAACATCAATCAAACAACCACCAACTTTGGCCTTTTAAAAAAATTAGCTCCATTGATTAAAATTTACAAAATTTCATAATTTTGCCATAAAATTATCAAGTTTTCTGCCACGTGTATTTCTTCCACGTGTACTTTTTTTTTTGCTTAATCCGGATTTATGTCACGCTCACTCGCGCCCAGAGTATTGTTCTCCCTCGGTTGTTGGTTAATAACTACAGGGAATCCGGAACGGGTATACATAATACCCGGTAAGAAAACCTAACCAAGTCCCGGGTATTTTTAGCAACACCACTGAAACATTACTATCTATTCAACGTACTAATTATGCGACGTCCCAGGGATGTCGTCTCACAAAACTTATTTCGTACAAATTTTGGCAAACTACTTTATCATAATTCATTCACGCAGTCCTTCGTAACTTTGCAAAAACTATGCTTTTTGTACCATAATTTTACAAACCTTTACAAAATAAAAAGAAGCTCTTTAAGATCTTTGTAAATTTGCGCCAAATAAACAAAATTTGTATCCTAATTTTCTTTCAAAAAATGTCCTAAATTTTGTAAAATTTTGTGAGTTTACGTAAGTTACGAATTTTACAAGGTTACCAAGCCCTGCGTGAATTATCTCACTGTATTTTCTACACTATTTATGCGTAATTCCTCTAAATTTACATATTTCTGCCTCATTTTATTTCTCAATTTCACCTCCACCTCCACCGAAATTTTTATAAAACTTTGTAAAAGTTTGTAAGTTTACGAAATTTATGGATTTTACAATGTTACGAAGGCTTGCGTGAATTGCCTCACAGTATTTTCTAACCAATTCATCAGTCCTTTTGTCGCTTTTAGAGTTTAATACGCCATACAAAAGTTGCAAATATCGCGAAAAATTCGCAAAAACAATGTACATATGCATATATACCGGTCGGTAATGATTTAATACCAGTTTTCTTCAAGTGCATGACAATTATTTCAAGTGGGGAACATTGTTTTAAATAAACTGGGAGAAGAGACACGTTGCACTGCATCATCTCCACGTGCTCATCGAAAGTGGAGGGCTTTCTCCGACAACAATTTACCAACTCCATGAAAGGAACAAGTCCGTTATTATTCTTACATGTTTGCCGTCATTGTCATGTCCGCTCGGACGTCTCTTTTATGACCAGAGGGCGGATATGTATTCATTTTCAACTTATTAATTTGATCACGACGGACGGTCAAACTTTCTGAGTGTGCTCGCGTATTTATATAAATCACAAAAATTTCAAAATATTTTTTACAAATTGGAACATATTTCAAGGATTCAAGACATTTGAATATTTCTGCTATTATTTGAATAATGTGGAAATCTTTTACAAATTCTTTTAAAAATGCATCTATGTTTCGTCAATATTGTAAGACTTTTATTTGCTGAGAGAAATTGGGCCACAAAATATTAAATTCAAAGGTACAAATTTTTTTCGTAGATATTTTGTCGTTTTTGGCAACTAATTCCGCGATTTTTCATAAATACATATCCGCCCTTTGTTAATTACACATACCACCAGAAGAAAACTACTATCATTCACTTTTTGATTTGTTGAAACTGACTTCATACATAAATAAACTGACAGCTCTTCAAACTTCGTAAATATTTTGACACTTTTTCCTTTAAATATTTCAGCCGTTTTTTCTTTCCTAAATACATATCCGCCCTCTGCACATTATTTATCTACAAAGACTAAATCCAAGAATAAAAATTTAAATAAAACATATTTTTGTTCATATTTCGTAAATATTTTAACCTATTTTTCCCCTAAATATTAAATACATATTTCACCGATTGTTCTTACATAAATACATATCCGTCCTCTGCCCCCCCCATTTCTGTATGTATACCCATATCCACAAAGGGAAAACAAAGCTAATGCAATGTCACGGGAAAGGCAAACTTGTCCTTCTTCTTCTTCTTTCTCCATCCGCCTCAGGCAGGCAGGCTGGCTTTCCCTACGTTGTGGAGAAAGTGGGGAAAACTTTGCCGGAATTCCAAATTGGGGAGAAAAACCAGGAAAGGCAAGGTTTCTCAAGGAGCTTGACAACTCAATAAAGAAATAACTACCACCACCGCCGACAGTTTACCTACGTTACGCTATTATTATCTGTTATCTGCCGGGTTTGAATATGGATTTATTCTATTTTTCTTTTTCACTGGGAACAAAAAATAACAACCCGTACCGCACCACGACCCGGCACGAGGAGAACAATTTACAAACAATTTCGCACGGGTAGATGACGACGGGGTCTTCTGTCCGATTACTGAATTGTGGGTAAGCAAACAGTGGCCGCGGAAGCTTGAGAGGACAGAGGGGCAATGTCCCCACGGTTGTTCGATGTCGCCATCGT